AGCCCCCGGAACATGCATGTGTCCCTCAGAGCACACACATATCACCCGGAATACCCATGACACTGTCAGACTAACCCAACACCCGACACATTCTTATAACCTCTGGAACATGCATGTGTACCTCAGAACACACACGTAACACCCAGAACGCTCATGACACAGTCAGACTCAGAGTGCACATATCACCCGGAACGCACAAGTGACATCGTCAGGGTAACTCAACACCCATCACACTCATATAACCCCCAGGACACACATGTGTCCCTCAGAACCCATATGCTTGGAATGCCCATGACAGCGTCAGACTCATAGCACATACATCACTCAGGATGCACAAGTGACACTGTCAGATTAACCCAACACCCATCACACTCATATAACACCCGGAATATGCATGTGTCCCTCAGAACAAACACATAATGCCAGAAATGCTTGTGACACTGTCAGACTAACAAAACCTGTCACACTCATATAAACCCTGGAACATACATTTGTCTCTCAGGGCACACATAGCACCTGGAACACCCATGACACCGTCAGACTAACACAGCACCCATCATGCTCATATAACCTCTAGAACACACATGTATCCTTCAGAACACACATACTGCGTGGGACGCAGACATCATAGCACCTGCAGCACCAAGGATGGGACCCTCCAGCTCTCGCCGGGCACTGGGTTCACAGCCTATGCTGGGCTGGGTTTGGGCTGTGCTTGGCCTCTGTTATGGAGTATGATGCTGTTTCTGCCTTTCTGATGTGGTATTGAAGTGGTTGCTTTCAAACGCAGTTGACTTCCCAGTAACGTCTCACTTCTGGGAAACTCGCAACTGCAGTTATTATGTCTTCTCCTTTCTCTCTGATTCCTCAGCAGGTTTTCCTGTGCCAGATTTGCAGCTTCACACAAAATATCCCCTGTGTGTTTCACCAAAAACAGGAACACTCCTCCAGGTGACCCCCATATAACCCCCAAATCTGGAAATACACGGTTTCTTTTTTTGGAGATGGAGTCTTGCTCTGTTGCCAGGCTAGAGTGAAGTTGCATCATCTAATCTCACTGCAAATTCCACCTCCCAGGTGCAAGGGATTCTCCTGTCTCAGGCTCCCCAGTAGCTGGGATTACAGGTGTGTGCCACCCTGCCTGGCTAATTTTTTGTATTTCTTTTTTTTTTGAGACAGAGTCTCACTCTGACACCATGCTGGAGTGCAGTGGCACAATCTCGGCTCACTGCAACCTCTGCCTCCTGGTTCAAGTGATTCTTCTGCCTCAGCCTCCCGAGCAGCTAGGACTACAGGCAGGCACCACCACGCCCAGCTAATTTTTGTATTTTTTTTTTTTTAGTAGAGATGGGGTTTCACCATGTTGGTCAGTATGTCTCGATCTCTTGACTTCGTGATCCATGTTCCTCAGCCTCCCAAAGTGCTGGGATTACAGGTGTGAGCCACCATGTCCGGCCAATTTTTTGTATTTTTAGGGAAGAGGGGGTTCCACCATGTTGGCCAGAATGGTCTCGATCTCTTGACCTCATGATTCTCCTGCCTTGGTCTCCCAAAGTGCTGGGATTACAGGCATGAGCCATCATACCCAGCTCAAAATACATGGTTTCTATTATAAAGTCCGGTCCACAGACCTATTTCACTACACTGCCTGCCCCAGCTGGGAGAAAAATGTCTCTTTCCATGGGGGCCCAATTTTCCTTTTTGGGCATGGTTCTTGAGACTCTCAATATTTTTTTGAGATGAAATTTCACTCTTGTTGTGCAGGCTGTTGTGCAATGGTTAGCCTCCACCTCCTGGGTTTGAGAAATTCTCCTGCCTCAGTCTCCTGAGTAGCTGAAATAACAGGCATCCACCACCACGCCTGGATAATTTATTTTATTTTCAGTAGAGACAGGGTTTCACCATGTTGGCCAGGCTGGTCTCAAACTCCTGACTTCAGGTGACCCACCACCTCTGCTTCCCAGAGTGCTGGGATTACAGGCATGAGCCACCATGCCTAGCTGACTCTCTGTTTTCACAGCCTTGACAGGTGTAAAGAGCAGAGATGACTCCATGCTGGGTCTGCCCAGCCTTTCCTCCTGAACAGGCGCAGACCCCGATTCCCGGTAGGAACCCCTGGCCTGGTGCTGCACCTCCTCAGTGCAGCCCAACTGGAGGAGCTTCCATCCATCCCACCACCACTAAGGATCTCACTTGGTAATGGCAAAAGATTGATTTACAACCACAAATTTCATCTTGTCAAGCTCTGGATTTAACTTTGCCAACGGCTTCCCAACGGCCTTAGAACCACGACCTCTAAATCCCGAGTGCTCCTGCCTGCTGCCATCTCCTGTCCAGTCCACTACCGCTGCCTGCAGTCCCACTCACAGGTACATGGGCTCCCGGGTGTCTCGGGGATTTTATGTGTGTTCTCTCAACCCATTCACCCACTGCCCACCCTAGTTTCTTAAGGCTTTTTCTAGATAAGTCTGTAAAGTCATAGCAGTTATGTTATCTAAAAGTAGAAAAGTTAATAATGTGATTTTTCTAAAGACAAGGAAATAATCCATTATTTATTAGACCATCTGTGAGATGACCCTCAAGTTTTTTTTTTTTGGAGATGGAGTCTCCCTGTGTTGCCCAGGCTGGAGTGCAGTGACACAATCTCTGCTCACCATAGCCTCCACCTCCCGGGTTCAAATGATTCTCATGCCTCAGTCTCCTGAGTAGCTGGGACTACAGGTAGCTACCACCATACTCAGCTGATTTTTGTATTTTTAGCAGAGATGGTGTTTCACTACATCAGCCAGGCTAGTCTCGAACTCCTGACCTCGTGATCCACCTGCCTCGTCCTCCCAAAGTGATGGGGTTACAACTGTGAGCCACTGTGCTCAGCCACCCTCAATTTATAAATCAAGAAAATACTAATTGCCTGGAACCAAAGTTTATGTTTAAGATAATTAGGAAAGAAAAATAAAATCTCAATGCTGAAGGAAAGGCAAATGGCACAGTAGATTATTGAAATTTCAGGAGAAGGCTGGGTGCGGTGGCTTGTGCCTATAATCCCAGCACTTTGGGAAGCTTAGACGGGCAGATCACTTGAGGTCAGGAGTTAGAGACCAGCCTGGACAAGACGGTGAAACCTTGTCTCTTCTAAAAACACAAAAATTAATCAGGCGTGGTGGCACACACTTGTAGTCCCTGCTACTCAGGAAGCTGGGGCAGGAGAATCGCTGAACTTGGGAGGTGGAGGTTGCAGTGAGCTGAGACTGTGCTACTTCACTCCAGCCTGGGTAACAGAGGGAGACACTTTCTCCAAAAAGAAAAAAAGAAATTATAGAATTTAGTGGACAGATTATTACCTTGCTATATTCTCTAGCCTTGTGTTAGCAGTTGCAAGGTAGTTTATGTTTAAACATTTATATTTTATCTAGTCAATCAAACTAACAAAAAGTCCTGTCCACATCATGATAAACTATATAAATATTTGCAAACCTCTTCATCTATACAATGGAAAATGGCTGAAGTAAGTGTAGCTTGTTTTTTTTTTTTGAGATGGAGTTTCGCTCTGTTGCCCAGGCCAGAGTGCAGTGGCACAATCTCAGCTCACTGCATCCTCTGCCTCCTGGGTTCAAGCGATTCCCCTGCCTCAGCCTCCTGTGTAACTGGGACTACAGGTGAGGGCCACCACACTGGGCTAATTTTTTTTATTTTAGTAGAGACGGGGTTTCATCATGATGGCCAGGATGGTCTTACACGCCTGACCTCATCCTCCTGCCTCAATCTCTCAAAGTGCTGGGATTACAGGTGTGAGCCACTGCATGAGGCCATAAGTGTAGATATTTAAGCAAATAAATGATTAATATTTACGTATTGAAATGAGTAAGAGAATGTAATTATGTCACACTTCTGGTATGGGACTTTGGGCTCCCTCTGTTGCCTCTTGCTGGATGGCAAATTGTTGGCCTGTGGAGACTGAAGGAGAAGCGTATCTTATTTCTTTCTTTCTTTTTTTCTTTTTTTTGAGATGGAGTTTTGCTCTTGTTGCCCAAGCTGTAGTGCAATGGCGCAATCTCGGCTCACTGCAGTGTCCACCTCCCGGGTTCAAGTGATTCTCCTGCCTCAGCCTCCCGAGTAGCTGGGATTACAGGCATGCACCACCACACCAGGCTAATTTTGTATTTTTAGTAGAGATGGGATTTCTCCACGTGACCAGCCTGACCAAGGCTGGTCTCGAACTCCTGACCTCAGGTGATCTGCCTGCCTCAGCCTCCCAAAATGCTGGGATTACAGGCATGAGCCACCATGCCCAGCCTAATTTTACTTTCATACGTAATTTGCGTCTATCAGTTTATTTCTATTTTGTGATATTCTATGTGTAATAAATGTTTAAGTAACATAAAAATAGAAATAATAATATAGAATACATCTTTTGTCCAATAAATAACCCAAAGTTTTCTTTGTTGTAAGATGAGGAATATATTTTTATCATTAATGCTTATACTTATTATTTGAGGCAATAAAACTCTGAATCTAATCCAAATTAGTAAAATTGACATTTAACTTTGGCTTTTATCAAGAGGGCAGAATGAAGTGACTCCATAAATATCATGAAAATGTTTTAAAGACAGGAAATTAATTTTAATAATAATAAATGCAAAACAATATCATGTTTGAATGATATTATAGAAAAGATAATTTGATAATTCAGAGAGGTTACTACTTACCATAGATAGATGCATATATAAAGAAACTGTGACGGCCCGGCGCGGTGGCTCAAGCCTGTAATCCCAGCACTTTGGGAGGCCGACGCGGGTGGATCACGAGGTCAAGAGATCGACACCATCCTGGTCAACATGGTGAAACCCCGTCTCTACTAAAAAAAAAA